CTTATCTATTCTGGAGATCAAGCCTTTGTCGGTTTCACTTGCAAAAATTTTCTCCCATTCCGTAGGTTTTCTTCTTGTTTTACTTCTTGGCCTTTTTCTTTTAGTATGTTTTCAAGGTCCATCTATGTCGTGGCATGTGTCATTCATGCTACAACATGAATGTAGAAATATAGCAGATACTTCATTCCTTTTTTACTGAATAATTGACTAATATTCCATTTTGTGGACATACTTCATTTTGTTTATCTATGCATTAGTTGGTACATTTAGGTTGTTTCCCCTTTTGGCTATTATGAATATGCTGCTATGAACATTTGTGTACAAGTTTTTGTGTGGACGAATGTTTTCATGTCTCATGTCTCTTGGGTATATATCTAGAAGTGGTGATGATGATGATGATAATAACAGCCACTGGTACTCAGCACTTACTTACTCAGCACTTACTATGTGCACTCTGTACTTCATATATACTACATCATTTAATCCTTACAACCATCCTGAGGAGTAGAAATTATAATTTCCATGTTACAGACTCAGAGGAGTGAGAGAGTTAGCCAAAAGGTTACAAAGCTCGTTATCTGCTTGGATTAGGAGTCATATCCACCCCAGGTTTTCTTTTTTAAAAATTTATTTAAATAATTTACTGAGGTGAAATTCACAATCTAGAAATTAACCATTTTAAAATGAACAATTCAGTGGCATTCAGTACATTCACAATGTTGTGCAAACACCACTTCTATCTAGTTCCAAAACATTTCCATCACCCAAAGTAAACACCTCAGGTTTTCTTAAACTCCAATTTTCCACACTCCCACCAGGACAGCCATGACACACACTGGCTGAAAAATCATTCTGTGGCTTTTCACTGCTTACAGGATAAAATGCAACCTCTGGGCTCTTCCTAAATAGTAGACAAGTCCTCAGTGGCTCAGCTGGAGCCTCATTGTTCAATTTTGTTGGCACTTAATATCTGCAGGGCCCTGTATGCAGGATAATGGGGGAAACAGCAAAGCCAATGAATAGTTTCTGTTTTATATTTCTTGATCACTCTGTAGCAACTGATATCTTGGCCACTCTCTCGTTTGAGTTCTAAAAACCACTTTTTAGGTTTTCCTCACACCCCTCTGACCATTCTTTCTCTGTCTCTTCTGCAAGCTCCTCTTAAGAGTTCAAGTTTAGGCACAATTCTAGCTCTCCAGAAGATAATGGGGACAAGAGGTGACCACGCAACTACAGCTCAGTCCAAGTGTGATTAGTGCCAAGGTGCTTGTTCACCTGGCCCAGTTTTCCTAGTCCAGCCCTGTTCTCTCTGGTGCTGAGCACTGACGGTTCAAGGCGCAGTGGCAGACAGCATCCTCCCCTTCCCCAAAGTTCCTGGACCACAGCTAAGGCCAAAAGAGAGCTACAATCAAGCAGCGATAAAGCCTCTCCTTTCTCAGGCAGCCTCAAGGGGAGCTCTGTCACTAGATATGAGCTGAAGTGTAAGAGGGATCAGGGAAAGACCTCTGGAAAGGAAAGAAAAGGAGAGAGAAGAGAAAAAAGAGAAACAGATAAGGAAGAAAGAAAGAAATGGGACAGAGAGAATGGGAGGGGGAGAGGAAGAGAAGGGAGAGAGGAGGAGAGTGGAAGAAAGAAGAGAGGGTGCTATTAGGCTCTTCAAACAAGTGCTGTCAGTGATCTATATTTGCTTACAGAATGAAAAATGTGTGCCATAAACACTGGCCACTGAGTAATTTCTAGTAGGAGTCGTGTCACTTCTCATAAAGGATGGGATGGGGACAGGTAGGACATCTCTGAACCTGGGCCAGCCAGCACAAGGATGCCTTTTACAGTAGTG